ATTGTGTTGTGCGCAACGAAAATTTCGGCAGCACCTCGGCAACATAACAAGAAAGTCAGGTCGCAATAGGAATTCCTGTTTCACAAAAGAAACAAGAACCTTAAGCAAAATATCTCAACAAAGTAGGATATCAGCTCTTCCTCTCATCAGTTCTAGGACTGACCTGTTGAGGGAACCTAAATAAGCTATTACAAATCACACAAAAGCGAAACAAACTAATTTTACGTGGTTTGGCAAATTGCCTACGTCCACGAAGAGAGGATGGGGAGATTCTACTAAATCAAGAAGAGTACAAAGGGTTTCACAAAACTCACAAACTAACCCTTAACCAAAGCTCTCAACTTGCTCACAATATCTCCCTCTCACAATGCTCAAAAGTCTCTCTAATCTCTGATTACAACTCTCCTCCTTTTGATTGATCCTAATCGTCCATATATATAGAAAACCTAAAACCAAAACAGACTAGGAATCCTAAAACTAAAAACAAAACAAATTAGGAATCTTAATAACCTGTTACCAAAACAGATTAGGAATTCTAATAACCTCTAGAAATTCTAATAACCTCATGTTACCAAAATAGATTAGGAATCCTAATAACCTCATGTTACCAAAATATATTAGGACTCCTGCTATCCAACAATTCTCCACCACGGCGAAGTATTCTCAAAACTGAGCCGACACCAACATGAGCACTAATGCGTCGTCTCACCAAATTCGGTTACACCAATGTGGTTGCCTACGTACCCCCTCTCCCAAGGGATCAAGCGGCCCGTAGTTTATCCAAATGGTCATCAACGGGCTCAACAATCACGAATGTGCAACAAGTTTCTACAATGATCAAACTTGTTACTCAAAACACTTTAGTGAGCATATCCGTCGGATTATCTTTCGTGTGGACCTTCACAATCTCCACATCGCCATCTTCAAGAACATCTCAAACGAAGTGATAACGAAGGTCAATATGCTTCATCCTTGCATAAAAAACCTGATTCTTCACCAAATAGATAGCACTCATGTTATCACAATGAATAGTGACGGACCTTTGTGATATACCAAGTTCCTCCAAAAGTCCTCGAAGCCAAATAGCCTCCTTCACAGCCTCCGTAACTGCTATATACTCTGCCTCCATCGTCGACAAAGCCGCCGTTGACTATAAGGTGCATCTCCAACACACCGGCGCACTGATCAAAGTAAATACATACCCCGTAGTAGACCGGCGCTTATCCAAATCCCTGACAGAATCCGAATCAACATAGCCAATGCATAACTGCCCATCTGTAGTGTCCCGCTCATAAATCAAACCAACATTGAGCGTACCTCGAATGTACCTCAAAATTCATCTCACGACGTCCCATTGACCCACTCCTAGATCATGCATGTATCTCAAAACCATGCTCACCGCCTGTGACAAATTTGGCCTTGTACATACCATCGCGTACATCAAGATCCTAACCACGCTCGCATATGGAGTTTTCGACATCAACTCTCAATCTTCAACTGTCTTTGGTGAAAGATCAGCTGAAAGCTTCAAATGGGCTCTTGATGGTACACTAACTGGCTTCGTATCCATGCTAACATGAAATTAATGTAGAACCTTCTTCAAATAAGTCACATGTGTCAAATAAATTCTACCCTTTTTCTTGTCTCTGCTGATCTCCATCCCTAAAATACGCTTCGCCTTACCCAAATCCTTCATCTCAAACTCTTTTGAAAGTTGTGCCTTCAACTCATCTATAGCATATCTGGAAATAGAGGCAATCAATATGTCATCAACATAAATTAATAAATAGATGTGCGTATCTCCTTTCCACTTGTAAAAATATACGCAAGGATCAAATTAGCTCCGAGTGTACGAATGACCAATCATAAAACCATCGAATTGCATATACCACTGTCGAGGAGACTGCTTCAAACCGTATAGCAATTTCTTCAATCTACAAACTAATTTTTCCTTCCCATAGCTGAGTCATATATATTTCTTCATCAAGATCACCATAAAAAAATGTCGTCTTCACATCTAACTGATCTAACTCCAAACCATACTGTGCCACCAAAGTTAGCAAAATTCGAATCGAATAATGCTTTACCATCGGAGAGAATACCTTATTATAATCTATTCCTTCCTCCTGTGCATAGCCCTTCACAACCAACCTAGCTTTGAACCTCAATGGAGTGCTGTGCATAGCCCTTCACAACCAACCTAGCTTTGAACCTCAATGGAGTGCCCTCAATGCCCTCCTTCTTTGTGTATACCCACTTGCATTGAACCTCAATGGAGTGCCCTCAATGCCCTCCTTCTTTGTGTATACCCACTTGCAACCAATTGCCTTCTGCCCCTTTGGAAGTTCAACTAGCTCCAATGTATCGTTCTTATAAAGAGACTCCATCTCCTCCTGTATAGCTACCTGCCACGAATCACCCTCCGAACTCTGCTTGGCCTTTCTAAATGTAGTAGGCACCATCTCATCGATACTCTCTACCGGAAGTGCATACGTAACTATGTCGGCATACCGTGCTGGCAGTCGTATGTCTATCCTCTATCTCCGAACCGTAATAGAATCCTGAACCTGAGCCGTCAGTCCCTGATCCTGCACATCAGTACTGGTATCCTCTGTGTCACCATCGTGCTAGACTAACGTCACCTCAGTCAGTACTCTAATAAATACTGTACCGTCTGGATAATGTGGAGCTGCATCGATCTCCACCACCTGTGATATCTCCTCCATCGGGTCACTCTCTACCCGATGAGAGCTGAGAAACTTCAAGATAGAAGCCTTATCAAATATGACGTCTCTACTCAGCACAATGTTCCTATCAACTAGATCCCAAAGCTTGTATCCCTTAACACCGCACTTGAATCCTACAAATATGGTCTTCCTAGCTCGAGGTTCTAATTTATTTGTTCTCACATGATAAAATACAAGGCACCCGAATACTTTGAACTAGTCATAATCATGTGTTGGCTCTCCCGACCACTTCTCCATAGGGGTTTTCCCCTCAATCGCAAATGAAGGCAACCTATTAATGAGGTAGCTCGCATATGTAAGTGCCTCAGCCCAAAAGATCTTCTCTGAACCACTTTGTGGTAATAAGCATCGCACCTTCTCCAGTAAAGATTGATTAAGCCTCTCTGTCACCCTATTCTACTGTGATGTATGACTAACCGTGAAGTGTCTCTCTATACCCTCATCTCGACATAGTTGCTGAAAGGGGTCTGAAGTATATTCACCACCGTTGTCGGATCGCAACATCTTGATCTTTCTCCCAGTCTGTATTTCTAATCTCTTCTTCCACTCCACGAATATATCTAGGACTTTACTCTTCTTTGTCATGGTGTACACCCAACATCACCTAGAATGGTCATCAACGAACGTGACGAACCAATGTCGACCACCAAGTGATGCAGTCTTGGTGGGATCCCAAACATCTGTGTGCATATAGTCCAGGATGCCCCTCGTTCTATGAATGGCCATCCCAAACTTTACCTTCGTCTTCTTTCCAAGAGCACAGTGCTCACAGAATTCCATTTTACCACTCTTGGCTCCCTTCAATAGCCCCTGTTTGCACAAAGCCTACAGTGACTTCTCTCCTGTGTGCCCCAACCTATATCCGACTCTCTTATCTCTCGAAATTTCCCTCTGAATGGAGAAATATCTGTATTTGTGCTTAGGGCTGATATATTGGCGTCGGTAGGAGAAGTTGTTTGAACACCAGCAGGTTTGTCATCCAACGAATGGTGCATTTGTTGAACAAAGATGGGTTCCTCGGTTTCCATAACATCGGGGGAAGCAATGTCAACCTGAATTTCTCCCTCTTCTTGACCCTCTACAAAAAGGAAGAAAATAAAATTTTGTGTATGAAAATGAAGCAATGTCAACCTGAATTTCTCCCTCTTCTTAACCCTCTACAAAAAGGAAGAAAATAAAATTTTGTGTATGAAAATGAAGTAATGAAAGAGAAATGAGTATGAGATTCTACCTCCATCATCGATCAAAATATCGTGAGCTGACTCCTCCTCAGACATAGGTGGGAGGTCGCGTCGTCGATGAATAGTTTTCTTAATCCTCTTAGAAGAACAGATATCCTTTTGAATCACAGAGCTCTCATAACGAGATTTTGTACATCATTCAACTCCCTAGGAAGCTTGGAGTTGAGTTTGAGAAGAAGTGGGGGATCGGAATCTTTTCCTACTAATAAGAGGAGTGGTGTCCTCCTCCTCCTCTTCTTCTTCCCCTGGATAGGATACCTAACTGTCATCCTATTGGAAAAGGATAAGGGAATAGTCTTTTGTTTCATCTGTATTGGCATTAAGGGGGCATCTGGTGATTTGGGCGAAGAACCACGATGAGTCCTGTGGGCTACAGGAGAAGGAGGAGTATCAGCTTCTGCTTCATCTTCGGTCTCATCCTCTTCATCGGACATTTCAAA